TCTGAGTCCTTATCTGATCTTTCTCCCCAGGCAGCAACCATAGCCTTTGTTGATCCTTTGTTCTTCTTGGGTTGAACCTGTTCCTTCGTTCAGCTCTTTCCTTTTTCCATTCTATTTCCCATTGAGGGCAGTTTTTTATGTGGTGATCAGCCTTCTCACACTTGTAACACCCTTATTGGTTTGTTTTTTAGGAACCCTTGGTTTGTTGTAGCTTCCACTTCTTGAAGGACCCTTTCCTCTCATTAGGTACTTCTTGAAGTCCTTTGTGATCATGGTCATTTCATCCTCCTCTAGATTAGCACCTTCAGTGATTCTAAATGCCAGGATCCTTTCCTTCTTGGGTGCATCCATCTTCATGGTTTGCCTTCTAAGTTCATAGGCAGTGAGATTTCCAATTAGCTCATCCAACTTAAGAGTGACAATGTTCTTTGATTCCTGAATGGTAGTGATTTTGCTTTCCCAAGTGACTAGCAGAACCCTTGTCAAAATTTTCTCAACTTTGTCCTCTTCAAGAATAACCCTTCCAAGAGACTTAAGTTTATTTGTTAGTTTGATGAACCTTGTATACATCTCTTGGATGGTTTCCCCTTCCTTCATGATGAAATTCTCATATTGACAATACAATAATGTTCCTCTGGACCTCTTCACTTGAGGTGTTCCTTCATGAGCCACTTGCAATGTGTCCCAAATTTCCTTAGCAGTGGTACAACTTTGAATTCTACTGTATTCGTCTGGATCAAGTCCACACACAAGCTATTTCTTGGCCTTAGCATTGTTTTCCCATTTCCTCAAGTCCTCAGTATTGTAGTCAGCTCTTGTTTTTGGCACATCTACTCCTTTAGCATTCTTCTTTATGGTAGCCAGGGGACCATCAGTGAGAATGTCCCATAGCTAATAGTCTTCTCCAATGATGTGATCTCTCATCCTATTTTTCCACCAAGAGTAGTAGTGGCCATTAAAGAGTGGAGGCCTATCAGTGGATTTCCCTTCCTTGTTTTTAGGTGGTGCGCTCATCTTGATCTGTTCCTAAGGTGTTAGTCTCTTTAAGGATAACCTGCTCTGATAACAACTGATGTTTTATACGTCAATACCACACAAGGGGGGGGGGTGATTTGTGTGGTGACCAATTTTTTGCTTAAACTATTTATGGAAGGACCTGGTTCTTCTATGTGTTCCAACTACTACTGTTGCGGAATAATAAATATAAAAAGTAAAGAACACAAGTATTTTTACGTGAAAAACACCCGGCTCAAAAGGTTAAAAAACCACGACCTACTACTTAGTAGGATTTTTCCCAACACTTCACTAAATCACTGAGCCAAAACAGCATTTACAAAACTCTTTGTAAACCTAAAGATTACCTCTAGTCCCATTGTAGCAACCAGCCTCTAATTGTCGCAACAACTTCAAGTTAACTCTAACTTGAATACTCAAAGTACCTATTACAATTGATTCCAGATAAAGCTAAAAAGTGCAATATGAAAACACCTACTACAATTGAACTAGAAATAAAGAAAGACACATAAAACTCTTTATGGTGCTGGTTCTTCTATCTCGTTCTTGTAGCTTCAGGTTTGCACACTTGAATCACACACGAACTGCTTGCAAAAAGCCTTGCTATTTTGGTCTCAATTCACATTTAGCTTCTGCGTTTTTGTGCAACACTGTAATGTGAGAACATCCTGCAATTTACAGAGTTAGTAGATGAAGAAATAACTAGAGTTCTGATGCAACTCTTCCTTGGTGGAAGAGTTCTAGTTGATTTCAACTTCTAACTCCTTTCCTATATTGGATAGTGTTCCCTTTGATTAAGGATTCCCTCTCCTTATCAATTATGCAACCTTTTCGATCAGGAGATATTAAATACATCAAGTTAATCTTATCTCCTTCACGTGCATCCCACATACTCGAATCTGCCAGTTTTTATGAACCTGAGGGATGGACCTAGTTCATCCTGAGTTCCTTTGTCAGTCTTCAAAACTAACCTTTACTTGGGCCAACACTCTAGTTATTCAAAATCAAACTCTTTTGGTGTCCTAATGCACTTTAAATCATTAGGTGGCCACTCTTCAAATGCAAACCCAATTCCCAAAAGGAATGAGTTATCCCTCCAAATGTCATAAACCCGATTTCGCTCAGGGGGCGAGACAGTGTACTCATGCCCTTTCTGTACATGTTTTTTATGTGTATATCTAGGTACCTCCACTCAGACTTATCAGGCTTGAGGCGAGGTGTTTGTAATGACTCCAAGGTATATCTACAGCGTCCGCATACCGAAGAGTCCCTTTTTACTCTCCCTTTTGTATTAGTCCTTTTGTACTTTGTGTCTTTGTTAGATATTCTAGAGTTAGATGTTGTAGACTTTCAAAGGCTTGTGATCATGAGATTCCAGGTTTTGGAAATATATTAGTTTTTGAGAGTTGATATTTTGTATGCCGAGCGGCACTTTTAAACGCTGTTTATTTCACTATTTTGGTTTTAAATTATTTTTCTTCCACAAATTTGGTTTATCTTCTGCATTTTTAGGCTTACCTTGTCGTAGAGACTAGGTATCGTCACGATAGTTCATAGAGGGCGAACCGAAGTCGTGACAAGTTGGTATCAGAGCTATAGGTTCATAGGAGTTATGAATCACAAGCTGATTTATTAGAGTCTTGCTAATCGGTATGGAGACGTCTGTACTTATCGACGAGAGGCTATGTAATTGTTAGGAAAATTACACTTCATCTGATTTCCTTGTCGTGCAAGATTTTGATGTCACAATTCTAAACTTCTATCTTTTATTCTCTTACAGATGGTGAGGACATGTTCTACCCGAGATGATCAGGCACCTGCACCCCCTACTGCAGCCGTCAGAGGCCGGGGCCGGGGTAGAGGTCGAGGACACGCACGTTGTATAGCCAGAGCACCCGCGCGAGCTGCCGCTGAGGTACCACCAGTAGTTCTAGCTGGAGTCCAGGCACCTGATACACCTACTAATACTGCTACTCCAGCTCTCCAGGAGACTCTTGCACAGTTCATGAGCATGTACACCACTTTGGCTCAAGCAGGGTTGCTCCCCCTTGCTGCAGCCACATCTCAGGCTAGGAGAGGAGCACAAACTCCCACCTCCCGCACTCCTGAGCACCTAGTGCATGTTGATCAGGTCCCAGAGATTATTCCTATACAGCCTGTAGCCCTAGGTCAGCCCGAGGGCAGAGAAACGGCTTTAGAGGATGAGCAACGGAGACTTGAGAGGTTCAAGAAGTATGATCCTCCTGTATTCAGTGGGTTAGCCTCCGATGATGCCTTGGGATTTCTAGAGGAGTGTTACCGTATCCTCCGCACTATGGGTATATCAGGATCGAGTGAGGTTTCTTTCACTGCCTTCCAGTTGAGCCGCCTATGTGGCGCACCTATGAGTGGTGGCGCACCTATAAGTTAGACAGTCCGGATGAGGCAGCTTCACTGACTTGGACTTGGTTTTCAGATATGTTTCAGAGGGAGTTTGTTCCTCAGAGCCTCAGGGATGCATGGCGCATAGAGTTTGAGCATTTGTGCCAGGGTGCCATGACTGTCTCGGAGTATGCTATCTGTTACACTAGTTTTGCTAGACATGCCCCAACCTTGGTTTCTACTGTTCGCGAGAGGGTTCACCGGTTTATTGAGGGGCTTATTCCTAGCATAAGGTTTAGCATGGCTCGTGAGTTGGAGGTGGATATTTCTTATCAGTAGGTGGTGAGCATTGCTAGGAGAATTAAGGGTATGCATACTAGGGAGAGAGAGGACAGGGAGGCCAAGAGGTCTCGAGAGTCAAGCCATTATTCTGGTGCCCGTGCCCCAGCTGCAGGTTATCATGTTAGGGGTTATATGAGTCTCCCTATTTATTCAGCTCTTCCAGTAACCAGTGGTATTCTAGCTCCTCCTAGGCCTCAGGAGCCTTATTATGCACTTCCGGTTTCTAGCGCACCTCCTGCGCGGGGTGCTTTCAGAAGTCAGTCCAGTAGACCTGGACCGAGTTTCTCAGCTGCCACGTCCTCCCAAAGCTTGTTTTGAGTGTGTTGACACATGTCATGTGGTGAGGGATTTCCCTAGACTTGGGAGGAGTGCGCCTCTATAGACATTTTAGCCACAACGCGCCCCGTAGAGTTCTCAGGCTATGGTTAGAACTCCAGTTGCTACCCCACCTGCTTAGCTAGCTAGAGGTGGAGGTCGGGGAGGTAGAGGTCACCCTAGAGGGGGAGGCCAGGCCCGATACTATTCCCTTCCACCCCGTACCAAGGCTGTTGCCTTCGATTCTGTCATCACATGTATTGTATTGGTTTGTCACAAAGATGCATCGGTTTTATTCGATCCAGGCTCCACTTATTTTTATGTGTCTTCTTATTTTTCTCCGCATTTGGGTGTATCTCGGGATTCTTTGAGTTCCCCCGTTTATGTTTCTACTCCTGTGGGAGATTTTCTTGTTGTGGACTGCGTTTATCGGTCGTGTTTGGTTGCTTTTAGTAGTTTTGAGACCAGAGCAAATTTATTGTTACTCAGTATGGTAGATTTTGATATTATCTTGGATATGGACTGGTTGTCGCTACGCCAAAACTGTGATACCGGCTATGCCAGGTGTACCGCGTGTTAAGTGGAGGGGTACCTTAGATCACACTCCAGTAGAGTTATTTCTTTCCTTAAGGCTCAGCGAATGGTTGAGAAGGGGTGCGACGCGTATTTAGCTTATGTGAGAGATGTTAGTATTGATACACCTTCACTTGATTCAGTCCCAGTAGTACAGTATTTTCCTGATGTGTTTCCAGCTAATCTTTCGAGCATGCTGCCTGACAGAGATATTGATTTTGGCATTGATCTGTGGCCAGACACTCAGCCCATTTCTATTCTTTTGTATCGTATGGCTCCTCTTGAGTTGCAGGACCAGTTACAGGAATTTCTTGATAAGGGTTTTATTAGGCCCAGTGTATCATCTTAAGGTGCTCCTATCTTGTTTATGAAGAAAAAAGGATGGTTCTATGCATATGTGTATTGATTATCGCCAGTTGAACAAAGTTACAATGATGAACCATTATTATTTGCCTCGTATTGATGATCTGTTTGAACAGCTTCAGGGTGCACATGTGTTTTCTAAGACTGAGTTGCGCTCAGGTTACCATCAGTTGAAGATTCGAGAGCCAGATATCCTGAAGACTGCTTTCAGGACGCGGTATGGTCATTACGAGTTCCTTGTTATGTTATTTGGGCTAACCAATGCCCTAACAACCTTGATGGATTTGATGTACAGTGTGTTTCCGCCGTATCTTGACTCGTTCGTCATTGTCTTTATTGATGATATTCTGGTGTATTCCCGGAGTCAGGAAGATTATTAGCAGCACCTGAGAATAGTGCTTCAGACCTTGAGAGAAAAGAAGTTATATGCTAAGTTCTTGAAATATGAGTTTTGGTTGGATTCTGTGGCATTCTTAGGCCACGTGGTGTCAAGTGAGGGTATTCAGGTGGATCCGAAGAAAATAATGGCAGTGTAGAGTTGGCCCAGACCATCCTCAGCTATAGAGATCCGCAATTTTCTTGGCTTGGCGGGGTATTACCGTCGTTTGTGGAGGGGTTTTCATCGATTGCAGCCCCTATGACCAGGTTGGCCCAGAAGGGTGCTCCGTTCCAGTGGACGGAAGAGTGTGAGGCAAGCTTTCAGAAGCTCAAGACAGCTCTGACTACAACCCCAATTTTGATATTGCCTACTGGTTTGGGGTCTTACACGGTCTATTGTGATGCCTCAAGAATTGACCTTGGAGCAGTTTTGCTGCAGGATGGTAGGGTGGTTGCCTATGCGTCCAGACAATTGAAGGTTCACGAGAAGAATTATCCGGTCCCCAACCTTGAGTTAGCTGCCATTGTTCACGCCCTGAAGATCTAGCTTCATTATTTGTACGGGGTTCCTTATGAGATTTATACCGATCATCAGAGCTTGCAGCACCTATTCAAGCAAAAGGATCTAAACTTGCGCCAGAGGAGGTGGTTAGAGTTGCTGAAGAACTATTATACCACTTTTTTGTACCACCCAAGCAAGGCCAATATGTTGGCTGATGCCTTGAGTCGCCGAGTAGAGAGTTTGGGGAGTTTGACTTATTTACCAGCATTGGAAAGGCATATGGCGATGGATGTTCAGGCCTTAGCCAGCCAGCTTGTGAGATTGGATCTTTCGGAGCATAGTCGGGTTCTAGCTTGCGTGGTTTCTCAGTCTTCCTTATTTGATCGTATCAGGGAGCGTCAGTATGATGACCCTCATTTGCTTGTCCTCAAGGAAAAGGTTCATCATGATGATGCCAGGGATGTGACTATTGGTGATGATGGGGTATTGAGGATGCAGGGTCGAATTTGTGTACCCAATGTTGATGGGCTTCGGGAGTTGATTCTGGAGGAGGCCTATAGTTCGCAGTATTCCTTTCATCCGGGTGCCGCGTAGATGTATCAAGAGTTAAGGTAGCACTACTAGTGGAGGCGGATGAAGACAGATATAGTTGGATTTGTAGCTCGGTGCCTCAACTATCAGTAGGTGAAATATGAGTACCAGAGATCGGGTGGGTTGTTTTAGCAGATAGAGATTCCGGAGTAGAAGTGGGAGCGGATCACCATGGACATTGTAGTTGGGCTTCCATGGACTTTGAGAAAGTTCAATGCTACTTGGGTGATTGTGGATCGGCTAACCAAGTCCGCGCACTTCGTTCCTGTGTGTACTACCTATTCTTCGGAGCGTCTAGTGGAGATTTATATCCAGGGATTGTTCGTCTGCATGGTATTCCAGTTTCCATCATTTCAGATAGAGGTACTCAATTCACATCACGGTTATGGAGGGCCGTTCAACATGAGTTGGGTACTCGGGTGGAGTTGAGTACAACATTTCACCCTCAAACGGACGGACAATCCGAGTGCACTATTTAGATTCTTGAGGATTAGCTCCGTGCGTGTGTGATTGAGTTTGGAGGGTCTTGGGATCAGTTCTTGCCATTGGCGGAGTTTGCCTACAATAACAGATATTAGTCCAGCATTCAGATGGCACCGTATGAGGCTTTATACGGTAGACGGTGTAGATCTCCTGTGGGTTGGTTTGATCCGGGTGAGGCCAGATTATTGGGCACAGACTTGGTTTAGGATGCTTTGGAGAAGGTTAAGGTGATTCAGGATAGACTCCGTACAGCCTAGTCCAGATAGAAGAGTTACGCGGACCGGAAGGTTTGTGAGGTTTCCTATATGGTTGGAGAGCCTGTTCTGCTTCGGGTATCACCTATGAAGGGCATTATGAGATTCGGGAAGAAAGGAAAGTTGAGTCCGAGGTTTATTGGCCTTTTTGAGATATTGAGGTGTGTTCGGGAGGTTGCTTATGAGCTTGCCCTACCTCCCAGCTTAGCAGGAGTTCATCCGGTATTTCATGTTTCAATGCTCCAGAGGTATCACGGTGATCCGTCGCACATGTTAAATTTTAGTTCTGTCCAGTTAGACAAGGATCTATCCTATGTTGAGGAGCCAATGGCAATATTGGATAGGTAGGTTAGAAAGCTGAGGTCAAAGAACATTGCGTCTGTAAAGGTTCAGTGGCGGGGTCAGCCGGACGAGGAGGTGACCTGGGAGACCGAGCAGGATATGCGCAACCGTTACCCTCATCTTTTCACTACTTTAGGTATGTCTCTATGCTCATTCGAGGATGAACGAATGTTTAAGTGTAGGAGGATGTGATGACCCGGCCAGTCGTCTTAAGAATTAATGCCCCGATCTCCTATTAACTGCTTTCCCTGTGTTTATTTTTGCTATTTTGATTTGCCGAGATATTCGATTTTGAGTTTCGGAGAGTTTTGGGACACTTAGTCCCTAAATGAGAGCTTAAATTTTGGAAAATTTGACCGTAGTTGGAATAGTGTGAAGACGGATTTGGAATGGACTTCTGATGGTTCTGTTAGCTCCGTTGGGTGATTTCGGGCTTAGGGGCGTGTTCGGATTGTGTATTGGAGGTCCGTAGCTAATTTAGGCTTGAAATACCGAAAGTCGAATTTCGAAGTTTCCGGTTTGTTAGTGAGATTTGATCCGAGGGTTGGAATGGAATTCCGGAAGTTGGATTAGCTTCATAGTGTTGAACGTGACGTGTGTGAAAAATTTTAGGTCATTCGGACGAGGTTGATAGACTTTTTGATCGAAAGCGTAAATTTGAGTTTTGGAGTTCTTAGGCTTGAATCCGTGGTTGATTCGTCATTTCGATGTTGTTTTAGGTGTTCTAAGGATTGGTATAAGTTTTGATAGTGGTATATGACTTATTCGTGCTTTTGGTTGAGGTCCCGGGGGCCTCGGGATGATTTTGGATGTTTGACGGAAAGGTTTGGAGTTGAAAGTTGCAGTTGAAGCTTTAAGTCTGCTGTCATAACCGCACTTGCAAGGCCACAGAAGCGGTCGAGCAACCGCAAAAGCGGTTTAAGACAAAGAGAGTTGACCGCAGATGGGGTCAGGGCACCACAGAAGCGGCTTCGCATTTGCGGTAAGGTAGTCGCAGGTGCGAAAAATCCTCCTTTAATGAAAAGTCGCAGATGCAACCTTGGATCCGTAGAAGTGGGACCGCAGGTGCCATCCCAGGACCGCAGATGCAGTTTCACTGGTCAGAAAATAGGGATTTCGAGGGTTTAGTTTCAAAACTTGGAAAAATCAAATTGGAGCTCGGGAGAGGGCGATTTTGGGAGGAAGTTGAAGAGGAAATCATTGGGTAATAATTCTTTAACCCTTTCTAGTTATATTCCATCAATCTATTATTAGTTTTATCATTTAATTTTGGACTGGAGATGAAAATTGGGGGAAAAGTTGGAAGAAAGTTCTTAGACCTAGAATTTGGCTTTTGATTGGGAATCTGACCTTAGATTTTTGTACTTTTTGTATGACTGAACTCGTGGGAGTGTGAGGATTCTGAAAATGTAAATTTTACCCAATTCCGAGATGTGAGCCCGAGGGGCGTTTTGGTCATTTTACCTAATTTCGCGTATTAGCTTAGAATTTCTTTGTAGAATCAGTTACTTGAAGTGTTAACATTATGACATTGAATTGAATAGATTTGGGCGATTTGGAGTCGAGTACTCGTGGCAAGAGCGTGGTTTCGAATTGATTTGAGCTGGTTCGAGGTAAGTGGCTTTCCTATCCTTGTGTGAGGGACATTCCCCTTAGGATTTGGTATTGTGGTAATTAAGATGCCTGATACGTGAGGTGACAAGTGCGTACTTGTGCTAATTGTTGAAAAACCTGTTTTCACTAAAGTAGCTTTAATTGTGTTTTCCTTTCCTGCTTACTCTACTTGATATTTGCTGTTAGCTTAGAAAAAGCGTGTTTAATCGACTTAATTGCTTATTTGCTTAAAATGCCTTAGTTGTATTATGTGAAGCATGATAGGTTCTAATTACTTGTTTTAGTTGGTACAGAATTGAGCTTAATTGAGTATTCTTTGTGTTGTTGCTGTGTGTTTTACTTTGGGACTATGGGACGGCATCTCGGGAGATCCCCTGCACGTAATTATGAATTGAGCTGAGGTGCGGGATACCAAGAGATCCTCGGGATACCAAGAGATCCCTATCATGTATTGAGGGTACCAAGAAATCCTCGGAATACCAAGAGATCCCAGGCATATATTGAGGGTACTAAGAGATCCTCGGAATACTGAGATATCCCCGGTTATTATCCTTGTGAAGAGTGGTATTTCCTGGTGACTGTTTTTGTCTCTATTCCAGTTACTGTCTTCCTTATTATCTTGTATTAGATTCTTACTGTTAGCTTTCAACTATACTTCTTATCTCATTCTGTCATACCGTATATTTTATTTAATCTCAGTAGGGCCCTGACCTTCCTCGTCACTATCCGACCGAGGTTAGGCTTGTCACTTACTTAGTACTACTGTGGTGTACTCATGCCCTTTCTGTACATGTTTTTTATGTGCAGATCCAGGTACCTCCACTCAGACTTATCACACTTGAGGCGAGGCATTCGTAGAGACTCCGAGGTATATCTGCCACGTCCGCAGACCAACGATTCCCTTTCTACTCTCCCTTTTGTATTTGCCCTTCTGTACTTTGTGTCTTTGTTAGATATTCTAGAGTTAGATGTTGTAGACTTTCAAAGGCTTGTGATCATGAGATTCCAGGTTTTGGGAAATGTATTAGTTTTTGAGAGTTGATATTGTGTATGCCGAGCGGCACTTTTAAACGCTGTTTTATTTCACTATTTTGGTTTTAAATTGTTTTTCTTCCGCAAATTTGGTTTATCTTCAGCATTTTTAGACTTACCTAGTCGTAGAGATTATGTGCCATCACGAATTGTTCATGAAGGACGAACCAGGGTCGTGACATAT